GAGAGAGAGCGCGAGAAAGATAGAGAGAGAGAGAGAGAGAGAGAGATTTGGGGGGGGGATGGGGAGAGGAGAGAGGGAGCAGGCGGCATGGCTCAAAACTATGATTACACTTCCACAGTTTTACCCATATTACATTTGTATTTATTTTGATCCAATTATATTTTATAGGATAATGGCTCGATTCCGTTTCTTTGGAATTGAGTATTATTGAGACTGTCTTGTACAACTGCTACTGACCAATACTTCTGCTACTGCCGTCACCACCACCACCACCACCACCAACAACAACAACAACAACTACATACTGTAGGACAGCAAAAACAATTACCACAATCACCAACACCACTATACTACTATTACTACTACTACTACTACTACTATTACTACTACTACTACTACTACTACTATACTACTACTACTATTACAACTTCTACTACTTCTGATACTACTACTAGTGCTACTACTACTACTTCTATAATACTACTACTTTATGCACCGATGGCCACCGCCTCCGCCACCAGCAACTCTTCGCATCTTACTTTACCACTATGCCACTACCACCCTGGCCACAACACACACACCATGTGAGTTTTTTTTTTAATAGTAGGTCATCGCAAATGACGCACTAAACAGGCTGCCGGGCTAGACTAACCATTTTGTGGGTGCCATCTCCTTGCATGGTTGCGTCATCTCACGCTTGATGAGAGAGAGGGTTCGCTTCCATGCACCCATAAATCAAAGTCATTCTTAACACTCTTATGCATCGGCTCTGTACTTTCGTCATTAGATATGAATGCACTATAGCGTGCATGTGTGTGTGTGTGTGTGTGTTTTAAGCATTGGACCCCGTCTGTCTTTAAAGCAATGTAAGCAGTAATTAGATTACCAGTCTGTTAAAGGTAACATTTAAAGGTAAAATCTGTTATGATGAGGTTTTAGTTTTCATTATGGTATTTATACTTATGAGAGATGGAGACTATTATAAAAGAGCGTGTGTGTGTGTATATACACTCCAAGAAATCAGGATCATTTTGTAACCTGTATTAAACGCTGCAACAGCAGCAGGGTGGAAACCCTTTTAGCTCAGTTCAGTTTAGTCTTTATTTTCACTCTTAATAAAAACAAGGTACATAATAATACATAATTTATAAACAACAGATCATCATCAAACGAAAACAATACAGAGCAATTACACGAAACAAGTTATAAGAATGAGGGTTCAACAAAAAATAACTAATAGCCTTATGTTCCTTGATCCCAAAATTAATAATTTATTATAAGAAACAGACAAACAAATTAACGTAAGTTTCGAACCTCGCAAGGTTCAACTTTATTCTTTCGCGTTGCACCAAAGTTATTCTGTACCCACAGACGAAGCCCGACTGTCTACTGCCCTAGTGTGCAAAATGTAACCTCTAATGGTGCACCTAACTACGCACATTTAACGATGCAATGTGTAGGAATTGAGCCATAGGGGGTTTGCATCTGCTACTCGTCATGTATGGCGGTGAGATACTATGTTCTATTCGCTTGTACGTAAATAAATAAATTACGAAAAATGTCGAAGTCTTGAATATTATCAGTAAGGAAACATAGCATTATATTATCTTCTAAATTCATATAGGCCTAATTCTAATACATCTTTCTATAGCATTTCGTCTTGGGAAGATGACCGCGTTGTTGTGTTGTTGTTGTTGTGATATCGCAACAGTAAGCAATCACATTTACTATTCAATGTAATTTACAATCTAAAGTACAATCATTCATGTAAGAACGACAATGCAGCGAATTCCACATTGAAACATACATAAGGAAGATGAAGAAAGACATTGGATTTGAAACCAATCACGTGACCGGCTTGCAAGTTGTTTGAAATCAAGCTATACAAATTCTATTGCAAATCAGTTATGTTTAGACATTCTCAAGTAAAAGTTTAGTGAAAGGCGAGCTATGGGACATGATATCGAATTATCTGAATAAAAAATATTGCGTAAATATAGTTGAAATCAGAATATAGGATTAAGTATAGCCTTGTAATCATACTAATGAAATGATTGAGACTTTGTCCTATACCTCGCGAGAGAGGTTTTCGAAAAGTGGATAGTGATTGTGCTGCATGGTGGTTCTCTACTATTGTTACTGCACATGAGGTATTTGAGATAGATTGGGTTTAGTCTACGAAAATAAGTCTGTTAAATGAGACTATATGACTATGCGTGTAAGAGGAGGAGTGTCCCTCCAATCGATTCACGCCCCATCGTAAAAAAAAAAAGATCGTCGTCGTCGGGTTGGGTGTAATATTGAACATTCACACAAGTAACTACATCAAGCGAGTGAGTTGTGGTGACGCTGTTAAGTTGAAAGCCAACGAACGAGTTTGGCGTGAAAACAAATTACCAAACAAATTTATTGGTTGGTCATACCGTGCTCCAGAATAATGTCTGTCGATGGTGTATTAACTTCAGATAGAGATTAATGTCGTCTATGGTGGTGATATATCGAGAAGCATTGCATTGATTACGTGAGCTAGTATTTTGTTCCAAAGGAAATTATCATGTGAACTGTCGTGTGATCTCCTCGAACTACAAGTTTTCAAAGTTACGAGTAAGTTAATGTGTTGAGGGTGCATATTTTTTCAAGACATTTTCTGATCCTTATAGGTGCATGTCTGAATTTGATATCATTGGGTGCGAAATCTAATTTTCCTTAAATTGGGAAGTGTGTCAATTTTTTATATTGGGGGCTTTAATCTGCATATAGTTGATGTTTTAACGCGATTGGAAACCATGGTCTTATTATCTCGGTCTTCATTCCGCTTTGTTATTGTTGTTGTTTATTTTGTTTGATGAACCGGTGAAGATTGTATATATTATATCTTTACACCCATAAGTTCTTTTTCGTTTCAACGAACTATGTGTGACCAGAATATTTCGGAGACCCCGAGTCATCTCATCGATTTCCATGATGTTTAATTCACATAAACTGCGTGTTATAAAACGCACTCGAGTGATGTATGGGTGTTGAAAGAAAAATGTGTGATTCTTCACTGGAGGGTAGAATAATAATTATGAGACAAGTAACATGGGAAATAATCTGTGAATACTGAAGCGATGTCTCATGATTCGTTATGCTTGACAGGAAACTTCATTATTTTAAACCAACTTAATTTATTGGGTTTTTGTCCAAGCCGATCTCCTGACTGACGCTCTCTACTGAAATTAAAATTCCACGTAAACGGCAAATGCATCATTGAACCCATCCATTATGCGAAATGTTTTCAGGATTGTATGGCGTATACCCATCGTATATAGGGGTGAGATGCCGTAAGCCCATTGTTCCCGTTGAAAGCTCAGATTGAAAAAGTCAATAAATTTCCCCGTAGGTATAATATGCGGGATCCAGGGCTACCCAGATACACTTCTCCTCACCATCGGGGGAGGGGGGGGGGGGGGGTCCGTTCCATAGGTCCGTCTCCTGCTTGATTATATGCCTCGATATACCATGCGAGTCAAAAAAAAGTTTACACCTAGAAAATTGCCAATTATTTTAAAAATCATCTATGAGCAGTCAATTATTATACATGAAAGAGTGTTTTATCTCAAATCGTTTGGTATCATTTTGTGTGGTAGGTGTTCACGCTTGAGTGAACAGGAGGCATTGTTTGCGAGAGTGCAAAATCGACTTGCGCAAATTGAGGCCTACAGTATGTATTATGTTGGGATTACCGGAGTGAGAGAATTAATGGAGTGTATCAAATGAAATGCAAATAGCATATGATTTTTGCAGAAGCAAAGTCACACACACAAACTCAAACACAAACGTTCGTTGATATTATAATTATGTGTGGCATGATTAATTTTGTTACGGATGTTATTTGGATCTGCAAAGACCGAATTTTATTCAAACATCAGTCATAAGCAACTTTGGTCGATTTTGCACTCTCGCAAACAATGCCTCCTGAAAATCTTCGCATGGACACATACCACACACAATGATACTAAATGATTCGGGATAAACCACTCTTTCATTAGATGTATAATAATTTACTGTTCATAGATTGTTTTAAAATAATTAGCAATTTTCTAGGTATAAACTTTTTTTTGATTCACACTGTATACCCTATACTGTTTTTAAGAAAGGCTGGATTATCATCTATAAAAACAGGCCAACAGGGAATGCATCCATTAGAATGATTAGTATCGCCTTTGATCATGGTTTCATCTAGCCGTGATCACTCTCTGGGGATTCGATATGATTTAGATACCCATTTTTATCAAACAATGTATAAGCCACGACGCAATACGTTGTGAGCAACAACAAAACACAAGTCTCTCAACATTCACTGCTATTATGTAAAAATGTGTAGAACAGGTGTCACATGCATATTCACCCGTTCTACACATTTTTACATAATAGCAGTGAAGGGATGTTCCTTTGTCTACCACAGCAATTGTTCAGAGTAGAATGAGGAACTCTATATTTTGCCCTCTTTCTTTGTCCGTCATGTTCATAGTGAGATATCCATTCATCACATGCACAACGAGACACAAGGATGTTGTGTTTTAAACAGAGTTAACGCATTTCTGGGTCTAACAGAATATCAACTTTGGTTTCTTACCTTCCCATGCAGTTGCGGCATGTATAATTATTATGATCATCTACGCACAACACGTTGATGAAATTAATCATTCACTCTCTTTCGTTTTTGGACAAGGGATGTCGAACAATAAAAAGTGAATAACTTATTCCCTTGCTTTAAAGTTCTATTTCTGGGAAGTATCCTTCTAAATTATTTTGAAACGATGTGACCTTATTGACTTTGTGGCTTTATTTTAGTAAGTTTAGATTTGCTAGCTTGAAAATATAACTGTTATTTATCATTCTTATTAGAAAATTATCAAGTTTCATGTCAGTTATATTTTTATTATGTTGTTATCTTTATTTGATTTGATAATCCCGAACGTTCTTCTCTGTGTCACTCTTTTATTGATCTTTTACAGGTTGAATGAAAGCACGATTCAATATGGCTTCCATGAGTAAATTCGCACTTTGGTGTGCATTGATTTTAATGCTAACCTTCACTCTCTTGGTCTACATCTCACCCTCAACACCGTCCATACAATCATCAGTACTTGGTAGAATAACAGGTGAGTTATTTGTTTCTCAAAACAATAAATTCACAGGATTCACTGATTATGCTGGAATTTCTCATGGGTAGTGAGAACAAAAATGTTCTCATGCCTCGTGTGCAGTCCGAAAGTTGTAGCTAAATAAGTGTAGTTCGCACTATAATGCATAGGTAAAAAAAGACATTGCTTATTTATATTTACTAACTTCGAATTCTTATGATTGTTTGATTTTTTGTATAAGCAAATAGAAAACGGAATTGTCTTCCCCTGCGTTTGGGTTTGACACTAGATAGATAATTTTAATTTTTATAATGACGAGGTATGCAACGAAATCAGGACAATCAAACTTTTACCAAAACAAAACTGTCCACCAACTGTCCATCTTACAAAGAGAAACAGTTTTTTTAACTTCACTATCTTTAATATAATTGGAAGTGAGCTGGTTGGATACAAAAGATTACGATGACGATTCAATTCAATTCAAGGTTTATTAAAAAATATCTTCGCAGCCGGTAAAAGGCTGAATTGCGATACAATTCACAGAATTCACGCTTCAGATGTTTAAGTGATGAGTTGATTAATTTCTCCCGACTTTTTTCATTTAATTAAGTTTGGCCTGTCGTGTAAGGGTCTGTATCATGATAGTGATAAAAACAGATGAATTAAAAATGAGCAAGAATTAAGAGGATTTTGAATGTAAAGGATTGTATATACTCTACTCTCGCAATATGTATATATTGAGTGTAAATCCACTCTTTAAAGAATTAGAGATCATGTCGTGGATATCTATGCTCAAAAGAGTAATTAAAACCAATTTTGACAACGTATTCCACTATAATTTTGAGTAGATTCAACTCCAAAAACGAAGTGATTCATAATGTAACTCATGTAGTAGCGGATTTTCACTCATCCCGGTATTATATTATCATAAGTTGGAAGTGGCCAGTGTTTCCTCAGTCTCCCGGCACAGTAAACAACATTTATATTTATGTAAAAAAAGGGAAATAAAGTTATATTTTAATTCAGAACGTCATTTTTTGTATTATAATTAGACTTTTTATTTTTTTATTTAGCCCTTGAATAATGTTTATCTTGCGTTGTATTTTTTAGTCAATTAGACATTTTTCGTTTTTCATTTTGAATTTAATTACTTCTCAAAATTGCATGTAGAAGATATAAAGTGGTGGATCGACACGTAATGTTTGGCTAATACATTTTCATTCCATTAATTTACTTTTTCTAAATGAAAAAAAAAAATGAGAGTGATATTTAACAAAGACATGATTGATTCGCAATAAGCTTATCTTGCGTAGTATTTTTTAGTCAATAGACATTTTTCGTTTTTCGTTTTGAACAAAAGTTGAATTTAATTACTTCTCAAAATTGCATGTAGAAGATATAAAGTGGTGGTTCGACACGTAATGTTTGGCTAATACTTTTTCATTCCCTTAATTTACTTTTTCTAAAAGAAAAAAAATGAGAGTGATATTTAACAAAGACATGATTGATTCGCAATAAGCTTATCTTGCGTAGTATTTTTTAGTCAATAGACAATTTTCGTTTTCGTTTTGAACAAAAGTTGAATTTAATTACTTTTCAAATTTTCATGTAGAAGATATAAAGTGGTGGTTCGAAACGTTATGTTTGGCTAATACTTTTTCATTCCCTTAATTTACTTTTTCTAAATGAAAAAAAAATAATTAGAGTGATCTTTATCGAAGACATGATTGGTTACTTCGCAATAAGCTTAATTATATTCCAGCCTAAAAGCACCCAACTCATTTGCGCTCATTTGCGCTCGATGCAAGCGCTTTCTCCCTACAGTATCTGTTATCGTAGAGTAGATTTCTAATGAGCAACACGGACCAGAGTTAAATGATATCAGATTATACGTAAAAATAGCGAGTTAAGGATGACGGGGGCACATACAAATCAGGAGAGAGAGAAAGGAGAGAGAGAGAGAGAGAGAGAGAGGGGAGAGCGTTATATGCTTTTAACGAACGTATCGGCATCATTACGTATGCCCGTCTGGTTCAATGATTACATCTGACATGTAATTCCGTCTACTAAAATCAGGTTGACTTAAAGGGAAATACAATCTTATTACAAGTCACTTTCAATGAGTCATGAAAAAGGGAAAAACAGAAGAACACTGTAATTTGTCGGGGGAGGGGGGTGACAGAATGGACAAATTATGCGATAGTTGCGTCAATGTATGAATCCTGTGTGGTTGTACACTAAAATAATGTAATTTCTAGATGTCCACCAGAAAAAAGAAAAAAAAGAAATAGGACTCCTTTAGAAAAGTATTATGCTATTAATTAGAAAGTCATCATGTTTACTTGGACAATAGTTGTTCACAAGAAATATTGCCTCTCTCTCCCTCTCCCAAATAGATCGGATACATCCCGAAGGAGTCTTACCATTGCAGGCTGTGAACAAAGACCAAGACCAAGAGACGGATTCATTACCTGTACACGTAAGAACAACAGACTATTCTTCGTCTTTTGGTTTCATCCTTTATTTCTCTGAATCCACGATGATTACAGTTCTGCCATTCAAACATTCAACATAATTCTCTTTCTTATAAACGTTGTTATATATTCGTCTTTAATTGGCTATCATCACACCAACTAGATTTATAGCAGATGAATATTAAATAGACCAAACAAAAGATTACGCGACCCCAAGTGGTAACAAAAAAATCAGTCATTTTGGAGTCGGTATCAATGACGTATTATGGAGGCGAATGGATTTACAGGCAGAAGGAAGGCACATTCGGGACTCCTTAGAGATTATAATATCAAATCGACACCATAATTACATGGAGATTTGTAACGGATGAATAAGGATACAGTTTTCTTATTTTGACAAGAGATTGTTTCATAATCATGGTGTTTGATAATTAAGTTCATCTTTGACCTGTTTTAGTTAATTTTGAAGTTTGATTTGAAAAAAGAAAGCGCAGGTGACTATCAACCTTGATGTCATTTTACTGTCGATGCTATATACAGTGCGTCCCAGAAAAAACAAAACCGAAAAACAAAAAACAAAATCGACGAAAGACTTCATGCATGGCTAATTGTCAACGAAACGGAGTTGAGTCTTTTGTCGATTCTGCTTGTTGCTGCAGCAGGCAGCCAGTGAAAACGCATTCGTTTGATAAAATTATGGAATGCAAGCACTACTCAAAACAAACAGAACTTTGTTATTCCTAGCTCATTTTTCCTGACTGAGGTGTCATATAAAAGGGCAGAAACTCAGCTTTCTAGAAATGTGATTTTCTCTTTGAAATTTAGATACCGTCCGCCAAATTACTTTTTGGTTTCCGCTCTTCAAATTCATTTGAATCACCCATGCGTGAAATATGCATCATATGAGTTGCATCAAATGAAAGAGGAGGATCTAAGCTTTCCAAAAATGTGTCATTTATCGACTATAAATGTGACTAAGTTATGATAGAACATCGACAATTCTCGGTTTCGTCTTTTCTGGGACACACTCTACATATTCGGATTGGGATATTACTTAAATGTTGTAGGCTGTCAATGTCGAGAATTGGGGTGGTGGTTTAGGCTGAGCATAGAGAGATTACTTTTTTTTTTTAATTGAGTGTTATTAAAATCCAGAGTATTATCATAATCAATTTTGAGAATTTTAGTTTTTAGCATGTTTACTTATATTGCCCTGGACATGTTAAATTTTTCTTTTATTTGTTTATGTGAAATTACAGGTGAATATAGGATCGTCAAAGGAAGAAGATGATTCAATCAGTTTGCTGAACGGATCCTACCCGAGCAAGGTGTCGTTTATGAACGCCCAGAAAGAGATTCAGAAACGTCGCAAGTATAACATGGAGCGCGTCTGCAAGAAGTACCACCCAAATCCCGAGACGGACATGGCGAAGCACCCGCCCTGGAACGTTATTGTAGACGACAAATATAAACTGATGTACTGCTACGTTCAGAAGGTTGCTTGTACTAATTGGAAGAAAGTGTTCTTAGTACTGAGTGGTCAGTACAATTCAACCGCGAGCATTCCGCAGTTCTTCACCAATCGTGAAGGGGCCAGGAGTCTCAAGTCACTCCAGTCTTACCCCGAAGCAGAACGGAGGCACATCCTCAAGACCTACACCAAGTTCATGTTCGCCAGACACCCATTTTCCCGTGTTCTTTCAGCCTACCGGAACAAACTGGCCCCAGACAGTACATTCTCTCGGGCGGGAAAATGGCAGAAAAAAATCGGTACCAAAATCATGAGCGCATTCCGAGAGGACGCCGTGGAGCTGCGCGTTGCGAGGCAAAATTTCAATATGAGCAATTATGACCTTTCCTTTGGTGAATTTGTGAAATTTATCTACACCCCTCGAGGACAAAAGAATGGCAACAAGCACTGGCGGGATTTACATATGAGTTGCCTTCCGTGCATGATCCAGTATGACATGATTGGTAAGATTGAAACGCTCGAGGACGATGCGCGGTATATCTTGAGTGTCAGTGGGGCAGATAAAGTTGTCAGTTTTCCATCGGCAGAGGGCAGTTCACCTACCAACAGTTCCGATCCAGACCTTATACAGAAGTACTTCTCAACTCTGCCGCGTAATGACATCACAAAACTGTACAACCGATATTTAATTGATTTCTTATGTTTGATTACCATGCAACTGTAGATGATGTGCTTGATGTACGGTAGCAACAAAATGATACAAGTTTTATACCCACAATATTTATCTACTTACTGCTAATGAAAATTATTTCAGTTGAAGACTCGGCGGTCAAATGTGGCCGTTCCTGTTTGAAAACCATCACTTTGCTTTGTTGAATATTTGCAGGAGTTATATTTTGTATCAACTAATGTGAGATATTTTAGAGATATTTTTTGTTCATTCTTACTACATTACATTTGAACCGCATCACAGTTGAATCAGAGCATTATAATCAGTATGTGCTCCTTTGTGAAAAGATTTGAGGGGTAAAAAGTTAAGAGGTCAGCGGGAATTTCAATCCCTGATCAATGGTACTGATTCATACTTCATTTTGAGTTAGTGGCAACACTTTTGCTGTACTTAGCTTTTAGTGTTTTCGTGGTATTTCCATATTCAATTCAATTCAATTCAATTTATTTCAACCATAAAAATACAGTTACAATAAATCATGGAAATATAAAAACATGGGGTTAGGAGCCCCTAAAGAAGTTTGAATACAAACTTGCGGTTAGGGCACCAACCATGACATATATATCGAGAAATTAACAAAAACAACATTAACGGGAAAAACAAATATATACAAGAAAAAGATTATAAAGACAGTATGTGAGCATGACAGCAAAGCACCGGCCATGAACGCACACAGGACACAGTGTCAAGCGACACTGCGTCCCTATATGCGTCCCTATATGCGCCCCTAGCCGGTGCTTGCTTTATTACAAAACTTAACAAAACATGTGGAGCAAATTATTCATTATTTAATTAGCATGTGTTTTATACTGCAAGAACATTTCATTCTTCAAGATTTTTTTAATTTATCAAATTTATCAAAGTTTTACTTAGTTTAATATCATTGTCTAGGTCATTCCATAACTTAATTCCATTACAAGTAAGGAATTTTGACTGATAACATGATTGGAAAACTGGTTCCACAGATTTAAAAAAAAAAAAAAAAAAAAATTGGGGGGGGGGGGGCGGGACAATAAAACAGAGTAAGTATTGACAAATTTCAAACATTTTTTACATCACTGATGATTTATTTCAGGACATAATCATAGTCTGATTTGCTGCAGTTCACATAAATGTGAAGGGCTTTGGAGCCTTAAAGTGACTCGATAACATTGCCTCAGTTTCTGAAACAAAATCCTGGAGCTAGCTCATGCTGCAATCATAATTATAAACCGTTAGGTCAGTCAGGAACCCCATGACTTGTACAAGCCGATCGCCTGTCTGATTATCAAGATATTTATGATTGGAAATCGAAATTTCACTTTTCGTTTTCCTAAAGGTTTTTATAACACTACAGTCTATTGGGGAAAATCAGTATGTTAAAACAGGTCACTCAAAGATTTTTACTTTTTTGAGGCACTTCATGATCATTTTCAGTTGAAGCGCAATTTTTGTTAGGGCTTCAATAGTACACCATATCACAGACACTGATAACATGTAGGACCATGCATCTCAGATTTAACATTGTTTAACGATGCCTTTAAAAGTACTCATTGAAAGAAAGAAACGAGCCTCCAAATGGACATTGCTCAGGTATACATTTTTGTAAATTACTATTTCAGTATTTCGTGTACTTATTTTTGAGTATCCTGAATGTTTGGGGGTTGACAATTTTGAGAAAGCCAGTATGTCTTAAAAGCAGCTCTTGAAAATGACAGTCGTGTACATGTATGACGAAGTTAGTGTTTATCCCAAATGAAATTGTACTGTTTCTTGAAACTGATATTGTATATATGAGTATCCTGGATGTTTCAAGGGGCTAAGGGACCCTCCTTTGGAGAAAAATCATGAAACAATATCACAACCCCCTTCCCCCTACTACACTTCTGACTTCTTTAACCCGCCCGTAATTATATGTCAAAATGAGCTGTAAAATCATACTGCTACCTTCTTTCCCCCAAAGTGCCGTATTGGACAGATATCATTTTTGCCACAGGTATAACATACTTTTGATTATACATGTATCTTATTGATATAATGCTTGTAACTTGCCAGAGTTGGAGAGGCTAGTTGGTTCAGTTGGCGAAGCGTCAAACTAAAGATCGTAGGTTCGAATCGCCTGCAGACGGATGACATCGTTGTGTGTTTACGTGACCCTCCGTCGCTCGGATGGCTCATTAAATGGAGGTCCTGTGTGTAGGAGTGTAATCACCTATGCACGTTAGACTTTTTGCTCTAGAAAAGGGAAATCCCCGATGTAGTGGTCCATATTGGGAAGAGAGACCCAAGAGTCAAAGTGATTGGTATACCCTTTTCCCCTCTCTGACGCACACTGTCTTAGTGACAACAAACACTTTAAATGCAACCATCAAGGGTACAGATGGATGAAAAACAAGTCACGTTGCGTAATTTACCAGGACCTAAGTCACACAAAAAACTTTGCATATCCATTCATGTACAATGGAGGAAAACAAATCAAGGAAATGATTTACCTTATGATGTTATATGCACAAGCAAGATATATTTTAAAGAAGAAAGACGGTTTGCACAGCTAGCTACAGCATCGTACACTGCACACTCTTTTCAGTACTACATTGTATTTTGTTATAAATAAATGTGTTTATTTTGTCATGTTGTCAAAATGTCATGTTGCCTGTCAATAGCTGTAAGTAACCCTGAAATCATCACACATACAGAATAGCAGGAACCAATTACTGTCCATAATATTAATCGTTCACATGTGAAAATGACGGGTCTTGCTCCGGAGATTATATACTACACGATTGCAAGAAACCAGCCTGAGGGTAAGGGTAATGAATACATTGATGGATTGCCTTGTAGTTCATGGTTGACACATAAGGCTATAGATCTTAAAGTAACTTGGTAACATTGTGGAAGGTTGATGAAAAAATTGCTTAATTTGTGTATAAAATGTTACTTACTATATTCCTTGTACTGTACTAACCCTCTGACATGCAAAAAATCCTGAAAAAAATTCTCAAACCACAAAGATATCTATGGTTTTCTTTGAAGGCGTCGATGTACGACACCCTCTAACAGTGATTAACAGTAAATTCTCCCAACCATTTTTGAATTTTCCAACCGTTTTTCCATGCAAAAAAGACATAAAACAGGCTATAAAAAACCTGTCAACACTTAAATGTCTGGAATGGAATGTAGAGCGATTTTATTGCTTTGTGAGATTTCCATTCACCTAAAATGTAATTAAATTGCAATAATATAGTTGGGAGAATTAAGGAATCGATCAGATCAGTTTTCCCCAATTTGTACCATGAATAATGGTCCGTTTTCACTCAAATTTTCAGATTATCTTTAATTGTACATCTAGCATTGAAGTCACTACCTTAGCACCACTATCTCTCATCTGAACAATGTTACAAAGTCCTTTTAATATTTGCGACCAGAAGGCAGGACTCAAACATTGATGTTGCAATGTATATAGTCTTTATTAGGACCTTGCAAAATTGATCGTTGTGAAATGGTTTTGAAAATAATAGAATCATTTAGGAGTTTGATGTAAATCATGGTTAAGTACTTTATGGATTAAGGTTGATGTTAGATAGATCATCTGAAGGGATGATTAAGTAATAAGCTCATCATGATTATACTAACCCCCTGCCTGGGAGAAGAAGTACTATCCAGAGACAAAAGAAATATTAGTATGTATTTAATCAGATATTATCATTTTCATTTTTGCAACCAAACAGTATTTCAGTGTTTCATTATATTGATATAATAAGTGTGACATGAATTAAATCTGTCTTGTTAATAAGATTGTCTAGCTGGCAAAGAGAGCGGGAAGTAGCCTACTGTATTTAGAATGTATTTTATTTTTAAAAACATAACTTTGTTAAGAAATGATACAGTTGATATTTCTTTTCTTTTCAACAAAGGTAATCATACATATGATTGCACTGATTATGACACTGTATGAAAAACTGGCTACAGATTTGTTTCTTCTCATGAATAATCTCAAACTTCTATCATCATTTCCCTTTTTATAATAATGATTAAGGACTTTTAGATATTATACAAATCCATTTATTATTATAATATTCAGTGAAACGCATTATAATAATCATGATATATGGCATGCGAACCAAAGTAAGATTTCAATGTCAAACATTAACACATTATGATACCGTAACTACAGGCTAATTATAATGATGAAAAAGACATTAAATACTTAACTTTTATAAGCTTCTTCAAGTTGAGAACCAACAAGAAAGAAGTGTTAGAAATTATTCTCGTATCTATTATACTTGTTTCCTTAGAAGTACTATTTACAATTTCAAGATATATTAAGTTGTTGCAATTAGGAAGATTTGTATAGGAAAACGTATTAGAAACCATCAAGTAAACCCATTATTGTGGGTGAAATGAACCTGCTGTCTATAATTATGGGGATGATCTGGGCTCATCGACTCAAATGTTATGAATATGTATGGCCTAGCTTTAGAATTTTAAAAAGGCTTGGCAAAACTTTGGTCAGAACGTTAGGTCGCTTCTTCTTAGTCATGTCGGATAACCTACCTGGTAATCTCAACACTTCCATGGCCGTCGGTCGGGGTGGTCGTACAGCTAGCGGGCTACGTCTAATTGGACGATCAGGTCAGGGATAGCTTGTGTTTTTTTATGAAATACATAAAATTTGCTAAAAACCATTGTCATGCCTAATTCTTTGATTGTTATGTTGGCTTATCTTCGTGAAAAAACTGCTCTGTTATTTTAAAAAAGAAAAAAGAAACGAATGAAAATAAAACTATTTTTCCTAATAAACGTAATCCAATCTCACCTTGACTGAAAGTTCTCTCTTTCTTGTTTTGAACCCTGCATGTGTAATGGACTATAGATGTCGCTGTTCTCTCCATGAGAACAGAGGGGCAATTCCACGGTAACGGAAGGACACTCAGACATGATTTTTGAACTTCAGGTTCATACTAAAAGAAATGTTTTATTAGTATGTATTAAACTATGGGGAACAAAATGTGTTTCAGTCAAGTGGAAAGCTTCATCAACTTCACAAAGTTTGGATAAACACTAATTAACTGGAAAAACCATGTCCATTTTTATGTCCTTCCGTTACCGAGATAGTTAATATGCACATTCTTAAACTACTTAACTATAATGACAATTTTTTTGGGGAGAATTAAAGGCACTTATATAGGTATTATATCTGTACTGTTTCACATCTTATACTAATAAAACAGTTCTTTTAGTATGAACCTGAAGTTCAAAAATCTTGTCTGAGTGTCCTTCCGTTACCGTGGAATTGCCCAGAGGCATTGATAAATGAGAGTTAGGCCAACCTGGTTTGAGTTGGACACAATATATTATAATAGGGAATTCTTATTTGTTATTGTTATGCACGCCATTCTGTGACCAAGTGAAACAAAGTTGTCAAATTTCTTTGTATGTATGGCTCTAAATGCAGGGGGGGCGAAACGGCCGTGCCCCCCCCCCCCCCCACCATTGGCGGCGCAAAAAAGAGAAGAAAAAAGAAAGAAGAGAAATGAAAGGAGAAGAGAAAAGAAGAAAAAAAGAAGAAAACAAAAAAGAAAAGAAAGAGAAGGAAAAAGAAGAGAGAAGCCGGGTTAAAAAAGAAGAAAGTTACAAGGAAATGACACTAAGTGACAGTAACGACAAATAAAGGAAAAACTGGGGAGGGGGTTTACGCGTATGAAATGAGCGCATTGAGGGGAGGGGAGGGGGGGTTGCCTGACCGTATTATAATTTTAAGGTTGTGCAAAACTGAGTCGGAATTCAGCTTATTTAAAAGAAATACTAAGTAATAAGTATGCTTGTTGATTAGTGTTAAAACACTTCTGAAAAGGCCGCGCCCGGCCGGCCCCTCCAAAGAGTTGCAGAATGGTAATCAGGAAATGTTGGGGTCATTCCCGAAGGCTTGAGAGCCGTTATTGAAAAAGGGGGCGGCAATACGTCAGTGATGGTAACGATGGATAAGGGAATAAGGAGGAGAGGGAAGTGAACTGCAAGAGTATTGGGGATGATGATAATCCTATCATCAGTGCAATCTCGGTCGGAATCTAGCATAATTATATTTATCGAGAAAAAAAAAGGTTCATGCAAAAGCACTCCTGGTAAAGCCGCGCCTGGCCCTTGTAATCGGGAGATTGGGGTCATTCCAGAAGGCTTGGGAGACGTTATTGAATAGAGGGGCCAGGCGCATAAAATCCCGAGCCGCGGATTCGAAATTAAACGTTAAAAACTATTTAAATATGAGTGTTGGATTGTCCAATCCATTTCCTGATATCGAAGTGAGCCTGAAATCTTCCAACAAAATTAATTTACGAGAGTCTGGTTATATGTCATGGGCAAAACAATTCCTCAGATTATCAAATTTGCACACAGTGACAAATATTTGTATAAAAAAGCAAATAGAAAATAAGAAAGGTGAAGTAGGGAAGGGGACGGGAAAAAAGCATAGTCAAGGGGTTGTAATATAATTCAGTTATAGAGTATTTATTGAATTACTGTTCGCCAGTATGATTCTATGCCTAATAGTTTAAGATAGAATCAATTGTTTGTCTGCATTTATTGTGCATTTATTCATTGACTCAATGAATGTTTTCAGAAGTTTATAACTCACTGAATGTTGAGGAAAAAGCTCATGACTTCGATCAGAAACGAAATGTGCTGGAGGGGGTGACAGCTCTTGGCCGAAAATCAACTTCCCAGATTTCAAATTCTGCGAGAGAGCGAAACTAGCATATAAACATTAATTTTGACACTTTTTAATAGTGGAAAATGCTGGTTTGTCACAGGAATACATAAGTAAATAAATTTACACAATCTGTCAAGTGTGCCCGAATATGAGGTAATCAGGGTTTTTTTTTGCCGAATTGAAACAATTCGAAATCCTCGAGAGATGCAGGCCAAGCCCCCCTCTTGTACTTCATGTGGCTATTTAACATTCGATTTAAGTTAATGATGCAACATACCCAATGGGTACTCAAATTGTCCTTAAGAGGACTTCACAAAAATCGTTCCAATTGTTTTCTCCCTCGTTACAACGTTATAGTATAAGGAACAAAATCAAATGACTTTATCTTCATAAAATAACAGCTGGTTTCTCATATCAAAATAATTCAAAGTCGGGTCGGTATTTTTGGTAGAGTTTTTCTAAGTCAACCAGAGGAACACCAGCATAGTAGGACTCGTATAGAGACTTGGAAGAGCTGTTGGTTGGACTACTCCCTTTCGAGGACGGAAACTCAACGATGTGGTCAGCATGTACAAGACGAAGGATATAGAGAGCGTCATCAACCAGGGACTCGAAATGACTGATGACGTCGTAATTGATTTGACATGGTCCACATAGTCGATTGATCTCTCTCCAATGAGGGTTTTTCAGAAATGAAGCTATTTCCGTCGTGTTCGTCAAGAATTTTACAAATTCATCAAATCGGAGATCATAGATGACTTTCCGCGCTTGTTTTGTGGATATCACTTTACGCTCGATGCTACCGCTTTTGTTATTCAATATTGTATTTGGTCTATATTCTTTAAGGATATGCAATTCAATTACGCTCTGAAATGATTCCGAGCTATTTGATGTCGGCGATCCTGCCCATAGTTTATTTCGATAGTCAGATAATAGTAATACACAATGAAACGGGTGACGTACCACCAGAAACTTTGTGATTTCAGCTCTCCGACTTTTCTTGTAAGAGTTGAGAGATCTGAGCTTACGAGGTCCGACATTATTATTGACTTGTGGTTGTGACAGATCGTCGGTGTGGTTCATGACACCATTCAAAACAAGAAAGACCCGTTGCCAGCTCGTACAAGCCACCTTCGGTACATTACAATAGACGGGTTTGTATTTATCATCGACAATGAGTGTACCGCTTGGCATGCCGTCTCCCTGGTTGTAGTGCACATCGTGTGCGAGGCATCCTTTTTTTAATTGCGCTCGACGACGTCGCTGAATATCGACCTGGGTGTCCATGGAATCAAGTGACTCCTTGTCTCCGTTCACGGTCAATGATGTCGGTGCCAAGGTTGACTTCGATTTCGTTGTGTAACTTAAGGGTAACTGAACCTTCGGTTGGAATGGCCTCCATGAATGAGATGTAGATGTCATCTAAGAATTGAAAGGTGAAAAAGATATGATAATATTATTGATCAGGATGATTAAAAAAACACTTTCACGTTATGTCTTCTCGTATAATCAGCTGTGTTGACAACATACTTGTCGTTGATGAGAGCAGTCATTTGGTTTAAAAGTAGCAAATTTTGAAAGTGACGTCGCCTTACACAAAAAAACAAACACGTATAATTAAAACGTCTTACCCAGTCCCGATGATAATTATCTTGGTGTCATTTTATTTATGAAAGAATTTTATACGCCCAAAACCCGAATGTTGTCGTCGAAAATGCAGATCTCATATGTTGCGTTCTTTTGAGGGCCACCTGTTATAAATACATAAGACTATTATGCTAAAGGTGCTTTTCATGATGATCAAGCTAGTGTACTATACCACTGCTTCTACACCCGGATAATTTTTACTTTTATGCCTCATGTCAAATTTATATAAGTGCGTACATATTATTGACTATCAATTTAAAAGGGATATGTATTAAATGTTAATAACATGTAATATTAGTAATCTTTTAATTTTCATAACATTTATTGTAAATAATGATGATTTTCTTACCCTTTTTAAAGACGCTGCATAATTTATCTTGCAAAAACTTTCATATTCTGAAAAATAAAAGGAAACAAGATTCTCTATCGTCAGTATGATAAGTTATAGGATTATGAAAGAAACAGTAAAACAGATTAAAATGAAATTCACACTAAAAATGCAAAACCTCACTGAATTTTCACAGAAATATAAAAGATCCAAGTAATGATAGAAACATTGAGAAAAGCTATAAAGGCCAAAAGGAAAGTTAATCAATGCCTAAAATAATGTTAGCGCTCCCTGGTATATATCGTTTCCAGTCCTGCCGGTATAGGTTCCCCCCTGAAGTTAGCCACTCCTGAATAGAATGTATTTCGAATGACTTTAAATAATTAATATAGTTTAATAACCAGCACTCCAGGTCTATACAAACCCCAGATAAAAGACCTCATTGTTTATTTTGAATAAATAACGTTGTATCAACATAATCTGAAAGTGATTCAAATTCGGAAACGATATCAGAACCAAAGTCAAGTCGAGTATTTGATTTCACGTCACACACACTATTTTAATCTCCTTTTCTCATATTCATGTTCATGGTAACTAGAGTATTCAATATCATTACCAAACTAAAAGGACACAAAAGTGCACGTATGTGACATCAAAAATATGGTGGAAACTGATTTATAATTAATATTCATTCTCAAACAGCGACAGCTCAATTTTAACTAGAGTACTTTTCGTTTCACAAAACACAATTCCGAATGCTACCTAATGCAATTTTCGTATAATATAGAAATGTTGATACAAACAAATTATATATGAAAAGTGATAAACTTACTGATATCAACCAGGTGTCTAACGGATGGTGAAGATAATGATGTGTAGATAGAACATACTACCATACCAATGATAGCTGTTGCACAGAGAACAATCTTATGTTTATGAGATGGTAACATCTTGCTCTGAATCACGACCCGCCGATAGTGGTGTTAATGAGAAGAAGCATGCAACAGAACAGAATGATGCTCCGCGAGTTCACGCTTATAATTGATATTGACTCAAAAGTAATGTAAGAGTTCTCACTATTTCAACTTTTTTATCTTAGCTTATTCTCTCCATCCCTTCCTCTGTCCTTCTCCACGTTCTCTCTCACTCTCACTCTCTATTTTATCAGGCTTACCGGAACTCTTCCATTTTATATATTTTTTTAAGGGGGGGGGGGGGGGGAGAGGCAAATTATATGGGGCTAGAAATATTTTTAACTTAAGACAGAGCATGCGTAAGAGAACATAATCCCTACAGTACTTGAATTAAGTATATTATGCGAGGGAGTGCAGCGACCGAACGAAAAATTGCTTATGTGATATTTCCAAAAATAAAATCAAGCGACACATACTCAGTAAACTTTTAAACACTCAGGCAAATAACAATTTATTTAAACATTTAAATAATTTACATTCATTTTTGTCTTCTGAGAGGGGCACTGCGAAATGATTTCATATAATTTATATTGTTGTCTTACAAGAGGCGAGGCAAAACGAGTTTTCCTCCTCCAGTTTTTAAGAAACCCCTTCCCACAATTTGGGGTTACATGGAGTAGACTATGTTCCTATAGTACAGTCTTAAGAAATAATGCTTCTACTGCGAGTGATATATTCAGATTTTAAAAACTTTGTATCTTAGAGAATTAGGAAATTTGATAGCTTTTTAAATGCTGAAATCGCGTATTTAAAGCACCAGAAACCCGTTCTATTGTTGTAGTAAAAAAACAACAATGCGTCTCTTAATTGCAAAGGAGCGTAGCAACATATATAGTGAGAGAGAAAAAAAAAGAGTTTTTAAATTTGAAACTCTGTATCCTAGACCAAAATAAATATTTTATATGGTTGTACTTACGAAACATTCAAACCATCAGAAACCAATAGAAACCAATAGAAATAGAAACCAATAGGACCAATAGAAACCAATAGGACCAATAGAAACCAATAAGACCAATAGAAACCAATAGGACCAATAGGACCAATAGAAACCAATAGGACCAATATAAACCAATAAGACCAATAGAAACCAATAGAACCGATAGGACCAATAGGACCAATAGGACCGATAGGACCAATAGAAAACCAATGAGACCAATAGAACCCAATGGGACCAATAGAAACCACTAGGTTTAATAGAATCCAATCGAAACCAACAGCTAAATCTATCTCATGCATATTCATGATTACTTCATACGTGTTCACAGAAAATTACATTTATCATAATTTGTTCAGCAACTTATGACAATGTACATCAATTTTGTGAATTCTATCTTTTTTCGGCAACTAATGACCAATAGATTATTTGTTTAATCATGTTACAATTTCATTCACGTTTTAGCAATAGATATATATTGATTATAATGATTACTAACCAAGAAATAATTCATGTATGTTTATTATATAGGAATAGTACAAGCTTTCAGTTAAAATAAAGGATATTCTTTAACTCACTTCAAGAGATCTATGTAAAGAAGTTAATGCAATTGAGACTAGAATATACTTTTTTTGGTGGACAGTTGCTAAAATCGATTTTTGATTTATCATTATTGATTTACCAATGGAAGCCATTGGACTATTGGTTTCAATAGGGAATTCAGAATATGGGACCATTAGAAACCCATAGAAAGATCTCTAATGGACCAACAGGAACCCATATAGAAAATATCTAATGGACCAACAGAAACCCATCATAGAAGAAAGTATCTAATGGACCAACAGAAACCCATAGAAGACATGGGTGGATGCTGGTCCAATAGAAGCTTTCTGTTAGTCCATCAGCATTTCTTTCTGTGGGTTTGTGTTGGTCCAATAGATATTTTCTAATGGTTTCTGTGGGTCCATCATTTCACTTTCCCTATTGAAACCATAAGACACCAATAGCTCTAATGGTTTCTGATGGTCCAATAGGATCGGATCCTAATGGAATTTCGACCTGGGAGTCCGTAAATTCTGGCAACCGGGTGAGGAAAAATGTCATATTGTTATTTTTTCTTGCGAGGGAGACAGGAAAAGGGACAAAACCCCTCTTTTTATAGAGAGATGCCCTGCCCCTAACCCCGGCTTGGGAAAGGTAGTAATTTAGAGTAAAAGAAAGTTTATTAAACGTCTGATTTCAAAATCAGTTGTAATAATCTTGTTTTTTTAATTAAAAAATCGACTTTAGCCCCCAGTATTGAGCCCTCCAAAACGGACCCCCAGTCAGGTCAATTTCACCCCATCTACGTCATGCAGCAAACTTTTGGCAGTGGAATGTATAAAGGGCCCTAATATTAATTATTTAACTGTATTGTGCACCATCAAAGATAACAGTCATATAGTTCATAATATTGCTAAACATAATATAAGTGCTTATTAGCGACTTCAAATATTTATAATAATGGTACATGAGTTCTGAAATGATGATATGAAATGATTTTTTAAACTATTTCCATTCACTTCAATTTCCTAATATGCATCTAAATCAGACGAAATTAATATAAAAATATAGGTGTAATGTATTCACACATCTATATAACATGAAATACTGGCATTGAGACAAAGTATTATTCTGTAAATAACACAAGTAATGCACTTACTACGATAGGCCCATGTCGGGGTTATCATAACCAAAAAGCTCAAAGTCTAACTGATAGCGTCTGTATAGTTTATCCAAGTCGCTCCGTGGTACATCTTTGAAATATGACTTTATTGACGCAGTATTAGAGCTATTCGTAGGACTACTTCCAATCGATGATGGAAATTGGACGATAGAGTCTGCGTGTATACGACGGAGAATATATTCAGCGTCTGTGTCCAACGTTTCAAATTTACTTATTATATCATACTCGACTAGACACGGAGAACACAATTTATGGATTTCTGACCAATGTTCTTCGTCGTTTTTCTCTAGAGGGTCTACCAAGAACTTAACAAAGTCAGCCATGTTTAAGTCATAGCGGACCACCCCTTTTGGTGTTGAGAGTCTCTTGAATACAGGACGACTTGGTCCAATGAGAGACAGAGGTTTGTATTTCTTCAGAATATGCATACCAATACCCTTCTGCCAGATATCACATTTCCTAAAGTCTGACAGAGGGTCTAGTTTATTCCTGAAAGCTGACAAAATTCTTGAGAAGGGGTCTCGAACGACTAAAAACTTGGTGAATTCTTTCAGCATCCTCCGAATGTCCTCCTCCGGGTAAAACCGAAGATACTTTAGTTTCTGGGGCGCTACTTTGTTGTTAACGTCTGACTGTGAGAGATCATAGGTGTCCTTCATAATTCCCCTCAGGACCAGAAGTACTCGTTTCCAGCTGGTAGAAGCGACCTTTGGAACTGAGCAATAGATGAGCTTGTACTTCTCATCAACAATAAGGTAATGACTGCTTAACTTCATAAAATCTGTGAATGTCCCACCTGAACTGTTCTTGATACAAGTGTGGCTTACTTGCGCTCGTCTGGCTTTCTGGATCGCATCTTGCTCATCCATGAAAAATATATTAGATGATGTCATCTTATCAACTGGAGCATTGGTTGACAAGTTTATTACACTGTCGTATAAAGTCCCAATCTGTATCGAGATAGTGAGAAATCGTTTTACCATCTTCAAACTGCATAATTTCAGATCTCATATTTCCAGATCCCAGTAGACATGATGGAGCTAAACTTTGTGTTTATTTGTTTTCACAGAGAAAAATAATCACCGCGAGGTATATTTTCTTTGTTCTTCTTCAAAACGTAAGTCTAATCTAAACAGTTTCATTGAAATAATAACAAACTTGGGATTAGGATTAGGGCTATTTGTGGGGTTAACTGATCTCACAAATGTGGGGTTGATTGATCCACAGGTTTCGATCCTTCCAATGGTGAGATGAAAATATGAGGGAAAAACTCGATATTGAAACAAATACTCAAGTAATTTGACACCACACTTTGCCAAATTAAATTATCCTTTTTCTCAATAAACGGACTAATTTCCAAGTCCTCTGCATACATCATGCATTCATGCTCCTTACATTTATGATATGTAATTACATAGCACCTCTGAAAGTAAGATTGATGATTGATGTTACATACCGTGGATATACGTTCATCTTGTTCTTCATTTCGGGAACGTGCCTTCGGTTTATAAACTGGATCTGTATGCAGAGGATTCCAAAGTTAAGAATATAATTACACTGTATACTGTGAATTCTGAAATTTAAGAAGGTATATAATTTATTCTGTCCTAGCTACCTCACCCATCCCCCCCCCCCCCTCCCCAACAAAAAAAAAAATTATATATATATATATATATATATATATATATGTTTCTGCTACATAATGGGATTCCAAAAGAGCAATATTTTTGCTGAATGTACAATTTATCTTATCGTGACGACATAATCTTAACGGGCTTTGGTCACGTATACCGCCGTTTTTGATGGCGTAAAATGTAAAACCTGTGGTGTCGTCTATTTATTTAAAAGTGTTTTGAAGGAGCCGTAAGACAAGGGCAAGAAAAACAAAATTGGGAACAATTTAATTTTTCTCATCTCGAAAGTTATATCTATTACGACTACGAGTAACTTCAATAGCCTTCCCTAACTCAAACAATGGAAGGTTAACAAAAGTGGTCCATATACCGAAAAGCAAATAAATGAATGAGGGAAGATAGAAATTGTCGGTCGATTGGCCTGTCGGCCCCATAGGTTGTATATAGCCATTGGAACATTCACTGGTGTTTCTGATAATTTTTTATGCAGGTGCTGATGGTTCCGTCACTATAATAGAGTCCATGAATTTTCTCTTTCATAACAAAGTTGGGACAAATTAATTGATTATGACTCTTTAGTGCTTTCGAAGAGATATTGAGAGGTAGAGAGAGAGAGAGAGAAAGAGAGAGATAGAAAGAGAAAGAGAGAGAGTGTGTGTGTGACAGAGATAGGGAATGAGGAGTGGAGAGGGGGGAGGGGTAGGGGATATATACAGTGCGTCCCAGAAAAAAGGAAACCGAGAATTATCGATGTTGTATCATAACTTAATCACAATTATAATTGATAAGTGACACATATTTGTAAAGCTTATGATTAAAACTCATGAGTGATTGAAATTAATTTGAAGAGAGGAAACCAAAAAGTCATTTGGCGGACGGTATCTGAATTTCAAAGAGAACATTACATTTCTAGAAAGTTGAGTTTCTGTCCTTTCATATGACACCTCAATCAGGGAAAATGAGCTAGGAATAAGAAAGTTCCGTTTGTTTAAAGTAATGCTTGCATTTCCATACTTTGATTAAACGAATTCGTTTTCACTGGATGCTTGCCGTAGCAACAAACGGAATTAACAAAAGACTTAACTCCGTTTCGTTGACAATCAGCCGTAGACGAAAGACGTTATGCATGGCTGATTGTCAACGAAACGGATTTAAGTCTTTCGTCAATTCTGCATGTTGCTACGGCAGGTAGCCAGTGAAAACGAATTCGTTTGATAAAATTATGGAAATGCAAGCACTACTTTAAACGAACAGAACTTTGTCATTCCTTGCTCATTTTTTCCTGATTGAGAGGCATATGAAAGGGCAAAACTCAACTTTCTAAAATGTGATTTTCTCTTCGAAACTCAGATACCGTCCGCCAAATGACTTTTCGGTTTCCTCTCTTCAAATTGATTTTAATCACTCATGCATAAAATATGCATCATATGAGTTGGATCAAATGAAAGAGGAGGATCCAAGCTTTACAAATTTGTGTCATTTATTAATTATAATTGTGACTAAGTTATGATAAAACTTCCATAATTCTCAGTTTCGTCTTTTTCTGGGACGCACTGTATAACCGATTTATGTTGTATGAAAATGATAGATCACTGTATAATTGTGTCGAAATAGTTGTGTTTTCATCTGATACACACCTGAAGAAATATCAAGTAGTCCTCGAAGGACGAACCCGAGATTGATGAGGATCAATAGAACAATGATGCCGACGACAACGATCACGTTCTTTCTCGTAGACATAATCTCCAAAAAGTAAAGTCGACGAGGCTTATGTTCCATCTTGGAAGACATTGAAAGAAAGAACTGAGGAGAAAAAAGAGAGAAGTTCAAGAGGTAAAGGGAAACATTTTCCAGCAGAGAGCTTTCTTTTTCATAATCTGCAACCGTACAGACAGACGCGTGCGCAGGGGGGGGGGGGTTAAAGATAAAGGTGAGTTCTGGTAAACAAAAAACAAAAACATTCTCACAGAATCAAACGAAAATTACACTGAATGTTCTAGATTACAAATAAATGTCATTTGCCAAAAAAAATTGGTAGAAAATGTATACTGGCTGAGCAATGAGCATAGAAAGATTAGAAAATCAAGGTTAGGAGCCCCGACACCATTTTGTGTAGTCCCATATACATCTTTCTGTGTACAGTACTTGTTACTTTACCAAGGCTGGGCCAAATTTGTTATGGTTTTGATGACTCCAGAACTTTGAAGTACACACCAATACTTACATGCTACATGATCAACTTTTTCTGATCCATTCCAAAACCTTTCTTTCACAATGCAATCAGATGACCAGAGCTCATCTTTAAAAAATTTTTTTTAAAAAGTGTCCCCCCCCCCTCCCCCAAGCCACTGAACGAAATATCTGACGATGTAATTTTCCAATTTCCGGGGCTCTTACCCCCCCCCCCCCCCCGCTTATTCAGCGGTCGTCTGAGTCGTTGCGAAAATTTTCCTCAAAAAGTGGACAAAAAAAATATATATATGTGCCGACAGCCCATAACAAATTAAAAATCTGTAAAAATGACTTTCTTCTTGAATATTTGCTTTTCTACATGTAGGCCTAGCTATTTGAGCATATAGTTTAAATTCCACTCTGTTTAGTAAGCACAAGGTGACACAAAGAAACACACAGCAACCAACATTAATAGCAAAGATTCAAATTTAGAAATAGCGACTTTTATTCATCAATAACGAAGATAGTTCATAACACAATGCAAATACAGCATACTTAAAGGTAATACAAAGTTTTGTGAGATTTTGAAAATTGGGTGGATAGTGAATCTTTACAATTTTGATATATTTGGATGCCCCTGTGGATGTATTATAAGCACTAAAAAAAATAGCCCCTAAAACACTTCTGTTTTCGTGAAAATTGAATATAAAAATTTACCGGTGCTCCCGGTAAATTTTGATAAATTTCAAATAGCGCCTATGGCCGTACAATGGTAGCTGCGACCATGAAAATCTCAGAATATGTAGTTGGGATATATAATTTCCAAACGGGAATAGCTAATCGGTCGATTTTAGTCAAGAAACATTTTTTCATAGTTAAATTAATATCTTGACCTTGAGAGGGAGCTATACAACATAAAGAGTTTATTATTTATAATTTCATAACTTTAGACTCGATTTCAACCGCGACAACGATCAATGTATATTGTAGGAACGTATATGCTTCCAATATGTTAATTTGAACCAAATTCATGACCCCAAACCAAAACTTTGTAATACCTTTAAACAGTTGCATTTGTAGATAAACAATGTTTTTTTCCCTCCTTATACTCTACGCCTATTATACAGAAAATTGAAATGAGACCACTCCACCAAAAAGAAACTATATAGTCATACAATATACGAATTTGACAATGTAGCATTAATACGACGAGAAGAATATGTTTCAAAGATAATCTAATTAAAATACACACACCTACACAAAGCAAATAAAACTCAGAACTGGTATGGAAAAATACTTTGAAACTATATTATAAAGTTCTACACAAGTAATCTGCCCTTTTGAGCACGCCATCGTTAATTTGCTCAAAAAAGCTATATTGACCCGTGATATTTGCAAGGTGCAAATATTAATCACTGTTGAAAGAGAAATACTTTCACTCACGGCAAACATTAAAAACAATTAATTCATAAGTCTACATACAAAGCAAAGTCTACATACTATAAGTAGGCCTATACATACAAAGCATGCCAGAAATTACTCACAAAACGGTCTATGATTTTATCTGGGGGTTTTATGTTGACAGCCTGAGTGTATGGAATCTCCGCAAAATGCGAAAAATTAAACAACGTAGATTTTTTTCTTCCCTTCTTTCTTCTGCTTCCATTCACTTTTTTCGAATGCAACTTGAATTCGGCGTAAATATTCATAAATGAATGATACACGCTAATAAAACTAAAACAACAACAACAACACAACAACAACACAACATGAATTATTCATATATGAACAGAATGCACAAGAAGCACGCAACATAAAAGTGCATTATAATCTGATTGAAATGTTCAATATGTTCATAAGTTATACTTTGCCAGACTTGGCCCATTAAAACACCCTGATCAAGAACCCATTCTGATTTCACAATTTTATTGGGTCATTACACAAGTTGTTCAACTAGGCTTCAGGACGTATAATGTCAAAATGAATACTCAATCAAAAATATTGATCTAAGTACTGATGTTACAGGCTTCAGGTGTGTGTGTGTGTGGGGGGGGGGCATTTACCTTTAACAAAAATT